CGCACGCACGCACGCACGCACGCACGCACGCACGCTCGTATATAAAACATTAAAATGTTATTAAATATTACGTCCACTTGAAATAATTTGAAAAAAAAAGACTGCCAAGATAGATTTAGTGTGCGAGATATGCTTCCAAGCTAAACAAACCAGATTACTTTTTAAGAAACTAGACATATAGCTTCAAGACCGCTAAAAATTGTACAAGATGTCTGGAAAAGTCTTGAAACTCCAAGACGAATCGCGCTACCTTATCCATCTGGTAACAAAGAACGCCTTTCGAGATCGATCCAGTTATGATGTTTGGGAAGCATTACTTAGTTTAAGGAAACACGTACTGGAGTTCAATGTACAGAAACTAGCCATGTTGAAAATAGAAGGAAATCAGCTGGATTGGAGGATCATTAGGAACATGGTGTAAGTAATAAAGACATGCTCTAATCCTCCAAGTCTCTCTCTGTCTTATTTGACCTTTGAGGCTCAACTTATCCGATTATGATATATAATTAAACCCCTTAAGACCAAATATATGTGACGACTATGGCGAATGTGCTTTCAAGTACATTTCAGATTGAACGTGATGTTTCTAGTTTTGGCTAGAAAACATTCTAGATCCTATAAATATTGGTGGAAAAACACGGTGCAGTCAGTCAGTCGTATACATACAATAGTTGTAAAGATAAAAAATACATGTGGCACTCTGGGACTGCCGCGGTAAAGTTATTGCATAGCATTTTTTATCAACTCATGCAATTATAATTATTTATTTATTTTATTTATGCAGTATTTTTTTTTCTTTGATATTAATTCAAGTTACACTTTTTGAGCGTAGTGACCGATAAGAAAATAATTTTTTTCTTTTATTGAATAAATGAGAAGTTAATATTGTTTACAATATTTTTATTATCTTACAATACATGTAGGTTATTCAGGAATTTTTACTTTCCTATCTGTATACAGATATAAGGAAAGTATAGGAATCATGATTTTTTTCGACCTCGAGTTTTCGACGGATTTTTACGTTTTGAGGTCCCCTGAATCCGTTTTGACTATTTTCGCGATGATGTCTGTGTGTGTGTCTGTGTGTGTGTGTGTCTGTATAACGCATAACTCATGAACCGATACACGGAAAAACACCAAATTTCAAACTTAAGCTTTATTCCAGCGTCTAATGAGCTGATTAGATTTTGGGCAGAGTCGGAACATCTGGGGGGGTACTTTATAGGTGGTCATTTTTATATTTTATGGAATATATCTGTTATTTACGTTTGGGGAAGAAAATTTTTTAAATAAAAGTTACTTCTTATTTTATTATCTATAATTTTTGTTATTTACAAAATTTTCCTAAAATGGTCCGTATTCGAGAAATTTGACAAAATGTAAAAAAATATTTTTTTTTATAAAAATTGTTCAAACAAAAGTTGTTTGTAATATAATTCTCTATAATTTTTGTCCCATAGATAATTTCTCTTAAATGAACCGTATTCGAGATATTTGAGAAAATGTGTAAATTTCGAAATTTGAAGAAAACTCAAAAACGGATAAAGAAAAAATCAATAAATTTTAAACTTAAGTTTTATTTTGGCCTGACGTGAAATGATTAGATTTTGGACAAAGTCGGAACATCTGGGGGGGTACTTTATGGGAGGCCGTTTATATATTTTATGGAATATATCTGTTATTTATGTTTGGAGAAGAAAATTGTTCAAATAAAAGTTACTTCTAATATTATTATCTATAATTTTTGCCTTATGTAAAAATTTCCTGAAATGGTCCGTATTCGAGAAATTTGATAAAATGTGGAAAATTCTGATTTTTATGAAAATTGTTGAAATAAAAGTTGTTTGCGATTTCGATCTCTATAATATTTGTTCATACATGATTTTTTTTAAATGGACCGTAATGGAAAAATTGTAGGAAAAGTGCTAAATTTAAATTTTTCAGTATTTTCATTTTCAATGAATATCTATAGAAAAATGTTTCGCGGTAGATGTATGTGGACAATGTATATATATATATATATTTAGTTTATCCTCTAAACATTTATAGAGATGCTGCAATAGGTTGTACACAATAAACGGAAAAAGCCTGTAATAACTAGATAGGAAAGTCATGTGTTGGACACATCAGATTTTTATTATTGAAACTATGGGTTTATGGTAACTGAAATAAGAAACATAAGTTTGAGACTTGATATCCTTTAAATATCTGGAAAATACCGCGCCAATGGTGGTCCCATATTTTTTTTGTGAATTCTTGTGGATCATTATTCATTGTTAAATTCAATTTTTCCGAAATTGTGTCTAAAAGAGATAGAATCAGTTATGAGTAGTTAGCAGCTGGTCTACACGCATATACGTCTAGTCGCACGCACACAAACACCGTGCCGAAGTCTGCCGAACTGAAACGACGTTAGACGAAGCACAGCTTTCAACGCCGCACCGCTGTCCCGGTCGGAGTGGGGGGTGTTAGGTTTATTTTCGTTACGGAATTTCTTTTTCGATTTTTTGATTTTACGATTTTTCGATTTTTCGATTTTTCGATTTTTCGATTTTTCGATTTTTAGATTTTCTTTTATTGAATAAATGAGAAGTTAATATTGTTTAACGCCGCACCGCTGTGCCGATCGGAGTGGGGGGTGTTAGGTTTTTTTTTCGTTACGGATGTTACGAAATTTCTTGATTCGGTTGCCGCGCTCAAAGCCCGCGATAAAAGCTATGCAATAGCTTAATAGTGAACAATTTAAAGACATTTGAACTATATATAAATTGGAATAGTATTGTTTTAAAATAAATAGGTGTTTAAATAAATTAACAAATAAACTTTTGTTTAAAATAAACAAACGTAATATATTAAATAAAAAAATCCATATTTTCAATTAATAGTAAAGTAAAATCCTAGCATACAATAGTTAAGGTAATGTTTGTAGAACACGAATACGTGGGTTGAAATCTCAGCACAGGACAAATTTTTTAAAATATTTTATTAAATTTATTTTCAAAAATATTTTTCATTTTTTCGTAGGGATAATTTTGAAATATTTAACGATAATAAATATCCAGCTTTAAATTAAGCTTATAAGTGATTCAGTTGCGACCAAATTTTATATCAAACTAGCTGGCCCGGCAAACGTTGTTTAGCCTTATTTCTAGGAAACATTTTTTTAGTTCAATAAAAATAATTATCTACTATAAGTGTGCGGGGATGTACTTATAATCGAAAGCGTTCTAGACAATGAAAGTATGCTTTATTTAGGTTAATAAATTTATTCTTTATTAAAGTAACGAATATATTTTAAATTACAATTCTTGATAGCTATCTAAACATCAAAAATAATTATTCATATTTATAGTATCACGATTGCACAGTTTTAAGGTATAAAACAAACATTGGAAGACAAACAATGCAGACAAGAGACTTACTATAACCATTCTACCCAGCAGCTGTCAAAATTGATACCAGAACAAAAAGTTTTGGTTCAAAAAGGTACTCGTGATTGGGTTCCTGCAAAAATTGTAAGGGAATCCGGCCCTAACGACTATATAGTTGAGATAGGAGAAGCTGAATATCGTAGAAATAGACAGATGATTAGACCACTACGAACATCATAAGTTACCAATGATCCAGAGTATCGGTTATCAAGCGGTCACCTTACTTAGATTTAAAATTTATATTTTAGTTTATTTTTTTTTAAACCTTTTATTCTAAAAGTTGTTAACTTTCAGTTTTATTATTTTTATTTTTTTTTTTTTGTAAAGAGCGTGTCATATATCATTAGTTGTCAGTTGTGACAGGCTTGCGGTCGAAGTGCCTGTATCAATTATTACTAGTTGTACTATATTAAATAAAACCTTTCTTCGAAAAGTGTTACCTTCATATTACCACACTAGCTGTTGTCTGTTGTTCTCTACTCCAAACATTACATACGCGATGGCCGTTTTCAAGATGGACACCTAAATGGATAAATGCTGGATCCCGTTCATGAATTGTGAAACCGAAAATACGCCAGACAGCTTCATTGGAACTGATATACCGGCCATATCACTTCTTTTATTCACATATTTGCAAATATATTTGATAATCTTCACCGAATTGCATGACTCAACATTAATATGAGCATTGAATGTTTTGCTCAGCAGAGGTGAATATGTTAACTATAAAGTTTTTAATTAACAAATAAAAATGGGGGTTGATCGTAGAAGGGTGAAAATTAAGGATTGTATGAATTTTTGTATGCTGTATCATAAAAAAATAAAAAAAAAGTTTTGTCTAAAAAATAAAAAAAAAATTAGGAGTGGACCTCCCTTAACATTTAGGGGGTTGAAAATTAAGGGTTGTATGTATTTTTTAATGCCACATAATAAAAAAATTAAAAAAAATTATCCAAAAAAAAATTTATCAAAAAAAAAATTTGGGGTGGACCCCCCTTATCACTTAGGGGTTTGAAAAATAGATAGTAGCCGATTCTCAGACTTACTGAATATGCATAAAAAAAATTCATAAGAATCGGTCGAGCCGTTTCGGAGGAGTATGGGAACGAACATTGTGACACGAGAATTTTATATATTAGATGAATCATTAACTGTCATGTCATAGGTGTTTTTTTTTCATATGTACTTGAAATTCAAATCAAGACGTTGCGCTTAGAATGATATTCCGATTTGATTAAAATTTAATTATTAATTAGTACACAGAAGTAATTGATCAAACAATTAACAAGTGAGAAATTCGCTAGTGTGAAATTTACGGTTATTAATTGTAATAAAATACTCAATTATAATTAATTAGTTCGAGATAATTGTTAATTCCATTCACCAATAGTTAATTATTGTCAAAATAATTACATTGTGAACAATACAATTATTTACTAATGATTTATACCATATGAGATAAAAATGGTAGAATTATTATTTTTAATTATTTTTCCTGATATTGTAAACGAAAATAGTGGGTAAAAATTGCTAAAAATCAAGTAAAATAATATAAATAAAATCAAATTACGTCTATTAAATAAAAAATAAATTATTTATGAAATAAATTATTTATAAAATAAATTAAGTCCTTTTTGAATTTTCACATTTGGAATACTTCTCCTTTTCCGTTTTTTTCCATTGATCACTAAGGGCATCATCATCGCCATAGTTGCAGGTATTAGACCGGCCCCTACCCCCGCCAAAACAGCACCACTATCACTAGTACTTCTAGGTATGACTTTATGCACCGTTTGTAAAGTTTGAATTTTCTTCTTTTTCTTCAACTGACTCGGTCTTTTTCTCTTGTTCTTAATTTTTTGCATCTTCCGGAATTTCTTCAGAGCCTGTTCAACGGGTTCAAAAGTTGACTCGACTTGCAGTAAACCACCGTGTGAAGTTGTCATATTGACGTTTGAATCTTTTAAAGGTGGCAACACGGTCAATTGCACTGATTTGTGACTATCAACAAATTCTGATGACATCTTCATTGATCGCTGCTTTTTGGGGTATTTGTAGCCTTTGCTGGTGGATAATAGTACCCATTTTCCATCACCTGTAAAAGAATGGGGTTCGGAGTACAATTCTGTTCCGTGTCTTCTATTGAAATTGAGTTGGTTCCTTGGAAAATTGGGTGTTAATCCATCGGTTATAATATCCTTATTATCTTTAATTATCACATTTTTATTGAACGTTGGTGAATCTTCTGTTAAAATCTGGTATATGGGTCTGTGGTATCCGAACGGTCTCTGATAAGGAAGGTTCATCTGATCTGGATCAGCAGTTTCATAAATTTTTATTTTATTTTTATGCACTGGTGGTGTGAATTGATAGCGATTTGGTACATGAGGTTTCGCAGTACTAGAAATACCTAATCTGTCGAAATTTTCCCAAGTACTATCAACTGACTGATGATCCCAATTATTATTATATTCAGGGGGATTCGGTTTGCTGTGCCACTTAGATATTTGAGATACTGACCACGGTACTGGTTCCAGAGAGACCCAACCGGTTTTATCATCCAAAGGTGGCATGTATTGTTTTAAATTAAGCAAATTTCCGTTTTTCTTCCTTTTATCTTCTTCTTGTTCGATTGTAATTGGTGGGTAGTTTACATCAGAGTTGTTTGCGATTTTGTCTTGCTTTAATTTTTCTGCGTATTTTTCCAAAAACTCCTTTAACGCTGTTGCAGAAAATTGATTGTTACTATCGTCAGTTTCAGTTATTATTGGATTGTTAAGGTTGGTTGAAGTAGGAGACTGATAATCGTCGAAGTTGTTCAAATACTTTTTGGGCGATTTTTTTTGTTCCCAAAGAGGATCGCCTTCGATAATTGTTATTGGATCCAATTCAGGAATGTCCATACTATACGTTCTCAAAGTTGTAAACTCAGTTTTAGCACTAGTTAAAAACATAATACACAATGCGAGTAATTTAAAAGGAATCATTTTATCGCGACAATTTCTTATCACTGACTGAAATATTCACGGCCATCATGTACCTAGTAATATACGTTTCCGCCACAGTAAATTCAGATCTAGTCCAAGCTCCTTTCATTAATTCTTTTGGAAAAATGTCATAATTCCATCTTTGTTCTGTAAAGTAGAAAGTATAAATATAATTAGACGGTACAAAAAGATTGAAGCGATGTAAAATATAACAATTTCTCAATATAACAATTTCTCTCGACCACAAAAGCGTGATATTTTCCGCTTTTATTAACGACTAAATACAGGGTAATTACTAAATGCCAGCTGCTAATAATCGACATTTAAGCTTCTATAAGACGGAAGATATAATCTCTATTCGTTTATAAAAGTAAGAATCTCAATTTTAATTATGTTACGGTTCAAGATTATCGTTTAACTCAAAATCTTTGTGTTTATTCGAATGACAAAAAAATGATTTTAGAAACATGGAACATATAGAACGGCTAAAAATCAGAATTATAATTAAAATCCGTTCTTGAAAAAATACGAAAACATTGAATATTTGTCCACGTTTTTTTACTATTTAACAACTTCAAGGATGATCAATAATACAAAAAAAAATCTGATGTGTCCAACACATGACTTTCCTATCTAGTTATTACAGGCTTTTTCCGTTTATTGTGTACAACCTATTGCAGCATCTCTATAAATGTTTAGAGGATAAACTAAATATATACATTGTCCACATGCATCTAGCGCGATCATTTTTCTATAGATATTCATTGAAAATGAAAATACTGAAAAATTTAAATTTAGCACTTTTCCTACAATTTTTCCATTACGGTCCATTTAAAAAAAATCATGTATGAACAAATATTATAGAGATCGATATCGCAAACAACTTTTATTTCAACAATTTTCATAAAAATCAAAATTTTGCACATTTTGTCAAATTTCTCGAATACGGACCATTTCAGGAAATTTTTACATAAAGCAAAAATTAAAGATAATAATATTAGAAGTAACTTTTATTTGAACAATTTTCTTCTCCAAACATAAATAACAGATATATTCCATAAAATATAAAAACGGCCTCTCATAAAGTACCCCCCCAGATGTTCCGACTTTGTCCAAAATCTAATCATTTCACGTCAGGCCGAAATAAAACTTAAGTTTAAAATTTATTGATTTTTTCTTTATCCGTTTTTGAGTTTTCTTCAAATTTCGAAATTTACACATTTTCTCAAATATCTCGAATACGGTCCATTTTAGAGAAATTATCTATGGGACAAAAATTATAGAGAATTATATTACAAACAACTTTTGTTTGAACAATTTTTATAAAAAAATTATTTTTTTTACATTTTGTCAAATTTCTCGAATACGGACAATTTTAGGAAAATTTTGTATAGAACAAAAATTATAGATAATTATATTAGAAGTAACTTTTATTTGAAGAATTTTCTTCTCCAAACGTAAATAACAGATATATTCCATAAAATATAAAAAAGACCACCTATAAAGTACCCCCCCAGATGTTCCGACTCTGCCCAAAATCTAATCAGCTCATTAGACGCTGGAACAAAGCTTAAGTTTGAAATTTGGTGTTTTTCCGTGTATCGGTTCATGAGTTATGCGTTATACAGACACACACACACAGACACACACACACACACACACACACATACACACACACTGACACACACACACACAAATATCATCGCGAAAATAGTCAAAACGGATTCAGGGGACCTCAAAACGTAAAAATCCGTCGAAAACTCGAGGTCGAAAAAAATCATGATTCCTATACTTTCCTTATATCTGTATACAGATAGGAAAGTAAAAATCTGATGTGTCCAACACATGACTTTCCTATCTAGTTATTATAGGCATTTTCCGGTTATTTTGTACAACCTATTGCAGCATCTCTATAAATGTTTAGAGGATAAACTAAATATATACATTTTACACATACATCTACCTCGAAACATTTTTCTATAGATATTCATTGAAAACGAAAATACAGAAAAATTTAAATTTAGCACTTTTCCATTACGGTCCATTTTAGAAAAATCATGTATAAACAAAAATTATAGAAATCGATATCGCAAACAACTTTTAGTTCAACAATTTTCATAAAAATCAGAATTTTGCACATTTTGTCAAATTTCTCGAATACGGACCATTTCAGGAAATTTTGACATAAAGCAAAAATTATAGATAAAAATATTAGAAGTAACTTTTATTTGAACAATTTTCTTCTCCAAACATAAATAACAGATAGAAGGGTCTATTCTGTAAGAATTCCTTTATATTTAACGGCCTTTAAAAATATTGGCGGCCTTTAAAAGTATATTTGTATTTGATAATTTACTTCTGTTATTATTTAAACAGATTTCTTTAAGATAGTCCTCTAATGTATTTTAAAGATCCGTTTAAATAATGACAGAAGTAAAGAAGAAAATATTTTTAAAGGCCGTTAAATAAAAGGGAATTGTTACAGAATAGACCCCATATTCCATAAAATATAAAAACGGCCTCCCATAAAGTACCCCCCCAGATGTTCCGACTTTGTCCAAAATCTAATCATTTCACGTCAGGCCGAAATAATCCTTAAGTTTAAAATTTAATGTTTTTTTCTTTATCCGTTTTTGAGTTTTCTTCAAAATTCGAAATTTACACATTTTCTCAAATATCTCGAATACGGTCCATTTTAGAGAAATTATGTATAGAATAAAAATTATAGAGAATTATATTACAAACAACTTTTATTTGAACAATTTTCATAAAAAATTATTTTTTTTACATTTTGTCAAATTTCTCGAATACGGACCATTTTAGGAAAATTTTGCATAAAACAAAAATTATAGATAATTATATTAGAAGTAACTTTTATTTGAAGAATTTTCTTCTCCAAACGTAAATAACAGATATATTCCATAAAATATAAAAATGACCACCTATAAAGTACCCCCCCAGATGTTCCGACTCTGCCCAAAATCTAATCAGCTCATTGGACGTTGAAACAAAGCTTAAGTTTAAAATTTGGTGTTTTTCTATGTATCGGTTCATGAGTTTTGCGTTATACAGACACACACACACACACACACACACACACACACACACACACACACACACACACACACACACACACACACACACACACACACACACACACACACACACACACACACACACACACACACACACACACACACACACACACACACACACACACACACACACACACACACACACACACACACACACACACACACACACACACACACACACACACACACACACACACACACACACACACACACACACACACACACACACACACACACACACACACACACACACACACACACACACACACACACACACACACACACACACACACACACACACACACACACACACACACACACACACACACACACACACACACACACACACACACACACACACACACACACACACACACACACACACACACACACACACACACACACACACACACACACACACACACACACACACACACACACACACACACACACACACACACACACACACACACACACACACACACACACACACACACACACACACACACACACACACACACACACACACACACACACACACACACACACACACACACACACACACACACACACACACACACACACACACACACACACACACACACACACACACACACACACACACACACACACACACACACACACACACACACACACACACACACACACACACACACACACACACACACACACACACACACACACACACACACACACACACACACACACACACACACACACACACACACACACACACACACACACACACACACACACACACACACACACACACACACACACACACACACACACACACACACACACACACACACACACACACACACACACACACACACACACACACACACACACACACACACACACACACACACACACACACACACACACACACACACACACACACACACACACACACACACACACACACACACACACACACACACACACACACACACACACACACACACACACACACACACACACACACACACACACACACACACACACACACACACACACACACACACACACACACACACACACACACACACACACACACACACACACACACACACACACACACACACACACACACACACACACACACACACACACACACACACACACACACACACACACACACACACACACACACACACACACACACACACACACACACACACACACACACACACACACACACACACACACACACACACACACACACACACACACACACACACACACACACACACACACACACACACACACACACACACACACAGACATCATCGCGAAAATAGTCAAAACGGATTCAGGGGACCTCAAAACGTAAAAATCCGTCGAAAACTCGAGGTCGAAAAAAATCATGATTCCTATACTTTCCTTATATCTGTATACAGATAGGAAAGTAAAAATGTAAATTGACTTGTAAAATAGTAAAATATTAAGTGGTTTGAGATCATTAGAAAAAATTTCATTGTATTTTTCACTATGACCTTCCTTCAGGCGCTTACTAGCCTATAATTCAGTAATTGAGGCTTTCACAAATAAATATTAAAAGACAAAATAATTTTAAAACAGATGTATAAAATTTCAATGGCGTCCTGTTTTTAACTGAATTTCATTGTCTAAAAATGCAAGGGGGTCAATGGAATGCGAAACCCTTCTAAAAACTTATAAAATATTTTTATTTTTGTCAACGGCATCAATTACCAAGGTTTCCCAGCGCCACTTTAGGAAGAGCACTGTTAATTAGAATCCAACAGTGTATGCATTAGAATTATTATTTAATTTTTTAAATTAATTAAAAATTCCTGCCACCGGCGGGATTCTAACATGGTATCCTTCAATCTCAAACAACATAACAAACCAAGGTACAGATCTATTCTTTGTATCGTACTTATAATAATTCCGAATAAATAACTGAGTAGATTCCTGATTTATCAGCAAAAATTATGGTAACTACTGTAAACAACGATAATTAAAGTTTTAATCAAACAACAAAAAATTGTAACAAAATATAAATATAAACTACATGCACTTTGCGCTTTTTTCAATGTGCGCTTTTTTCCATCTGCGCTTTTTTCCATGTGCGCTTTTAT